ATATGTATATATATATATATATATACACACACACACACACACACACACACACACACAGTATATATATATAGTATATAATTACCAAGTGTGGTTATTCTATGAATACAAAGGTAGTTTAACACTAAAAAATGAATATAGTTCATGATGGTGTAAGTAAAATGATAAAAACAATATGATCATCTTAATAGCTGCAGAACATGCATTTGATACAATTCAGTAGTAATTTATGATTAAGAAAAGAAAACGGTTAGTAAATTAGGAATAGGAAACTTCTGTGGTCAGATAAAAAATAGATAAAAACAATTTACAGGAAACATCTTACTTCATGGTGAAATACCAAAGTTTTCCCTTTAATATACTTTCTCATCTAAGCTTTACAGACTCCCCATCACTCTTCTTCTTCTCATCCCTATACTCTTTCCCACCTCCACTGACCCTGGGTATAGGCTGAGGTGCCAAAATGAAAAATGAGAGCAATAATACCCGGATGTCCATTTCTTATCTCCAAATCAGGGGGCACCAAAGTATTTTTCATGATGAATGTTTCAGTGTGGAGAAGAGACTATTCATTGATGTCACCGCTGCCAGATTGTGTAGCTGCATTCAGGCCAGAACAGAAATTGCTTCCCAGAAACCCCCTCAGAGACAGTCCAACCCCTCCCAACACCCCCCCCCCTCCCCGCCTCAGGCTGGTTCCTGGGACTGGCCCTGGGAGTGCCCTAGGCAAGTCTGTAAGGCAGTTTTTCCTTATCTGAGGTGGGTCATTCTCCAGTACCCCCATCCATCTTCCCTGTCCTATAAACTCCTTATCACCTGCCCTGTGGCAGGGAGGACATCTGTGTCATCTTGCTGCCTCCCAAGAAACTCTGAGTGTAATAATGGGGCCCTCAGTCTCTTTCTACAGTCTCCTGGCCAGGGAAATTTTACCTAACGCTCAGTATGACCTAAGGTAAGATGAAGCTGGAAGAGGGAGCAGGACAGGAGCAGGCAAAGCTCATAAATGATCCCAGGCACCTCACATCTCCTGTAATTCGGCCTCTGTAGGAGGTGAAGCCGATTTGGTGGTTGTGTCAGTGGTTGGGGCTGAGTCCTCAGTCAGGGCCCTCTCCAGAATGGCAGGCAGGGAGTGGATCATTCTCTTTCGGAAGTCTCTCCCCAGGAAGACATAGAGCATTGGGTTGAGGCAGCTGTTGAAAAAGGCCAGGGTGCTTGTTAAATATACCAGGAGACGAATGATGTTGTACTTTCCTTCATGTACTGCTCTGGCACAGAGTTTATTCAGAAGAAGACACAGTTGCAAGGGGAACCAGCAAATGAAAAAGGAAGCTCCCACAGCAGTGAGGACCCGCAAGGGATGGTGGGACTTGATCATGCCCTTGTTTCGGATTTTGGCTGCAATGAGCCCATAGCAGATGGCGATGATGGACATCGGTAGAGTGAAGCCAATGACAAACCGGATGATCCCTATGATTGCTTCTGAGGTAAAGTACCTCTGCAACTTCTCTTCTTTACCGATGTCAGCCCAGAAGTCAATGTTGAAATCACAGTATATATCCCCGTTCTCATCCGTTACTGTAGTAAAGAAGATGAGAACTGGCAAGCTAAGGAGTAGAGCAAGAATCCAGGGTACAATGATCACTTTTTTAGCCAGACTTAGAGTGCGGTTGTTCTGGGCCCAGACTGGATGCAGGACACAAATACAGCGGTCCAGAGCAATGAAAGCAATGAGGAAGACACTTGCAAACAGGTTTGTGTCACCCATAATGTGAAATAACTTGCATAGGAAACAGCCATAAGGCCATTGTCCTCTCATGGCATTTACAACCATGAAGAATGGCAGAATGGCGCTGAAGAAGAAGTCGGCTAAGGCCAGGTTCAGGTAGCACAAGGTGGTGACTGTGCGTGCCATCCGGAATCCAGCCACCCAGATGACAAGCGCATTGCCCATGATGCCGAGGACACAGGTGATCCCTTGCATCACCAATGTGAAGATCTCTGGAGCAGTGTAGCCAGTTTCCATCCTGCCCACACCTGAAACATCTCAACAATGGGAATTTGTCAGCTGTGCACCATCTTACAGCATTTCTGTTCAGGCCAACAACTTCCACTAGAGCTTCCTCTCCAAACCTTCTCTCCTGAACCTTGTGGCTAGTCACTAAAATTGGACAGACTCTTGGCTGTTCCTTTGGGAAAGGACACTTCTCTATCCTATATAATAAAAGCTAATATGCAAATTGACTAAACGGCAGAACGACCGTTTGCTATGATGCACATTGACCACCAGGGGCCAGATGCTCAATGCAGGAGCTGCCCCCTGGTGGTCAGTGCACTCCTACAGGGGAGCACCACTCAGCCAGAAGCTGGGCGCATGGCTGGCTAGCTCAGCAGCGGTTGCAGGAGCCTCTCCTGCCTCTGCAGCAGCGCTAAGGATGTCTGACTGAAAGCTTAGGCCTGCTCCCCATGGGGAATGGGCCTAAGCCATCAGTTGGACATCCCCCAAGGGCTCTTGGATTGCTAGAGGGTGCAGGTCAGGCTGAGGGACTCCCCTGAGTGCACGACTTTTGTGCACATGGTCTCTAGTCTATGTATATAAAAGCCTAAGCGACCATCCAGCCATCCAACCAGTAGCTCTGATGTGCACTGACCACCAGGGGCAGACAGTCGATGCAGGAGCTGCCGAGCTGCAGTGACTTGGCAGCTGCGGTTCTTGGGTGATGGACCCGGAACCATAGAGAAGGGAGCCCGATTCTGAGGTGCATCATTTGAGAACTGCCCTCTCACAATCCGGGACCCCTCGCAGAATGTCGGAGAGCTGGTTTTGGCCTGATCACTGCAAGCCAGGCCGTGGGACCCCACTGGTGCACAAATCTGTGCACCGGGCCTCTAGTATTCCCATAATTATTAACATACATTCCACCTATTGGGCTAATTACTTAGCCAAGAGTGTTACAAGACTCTTGTCCCTCAGCAGAATCCTGAGCTGAGGGTGTATAAACAACAGAAAATCGATGGGAGGCATCTTGGGCACAGTGAGGGAGCACTACACTCAGAGTGAGTATGGTCACAACTCTTCCACCCATGACTCAATGCATAGATGCTGGCAGGCTCTGCAACCTCTGCCAGCCCCAGGTTCTCACAGACTCCCAGCTCCTGTTCCTCCCCTGTGAGAATTCTTGACCTATTGATTGATTCGTCTTTAAAGTTTTAGAGTGTGGTTTGAATTTATAGCTGAAGAGGATCTTAAACAATTACTGGTAATATATTTTAACATGTTGCATCCTGTGGAGTCTGTGGTGGTGGAGGTCAGTGAAGGGGCCCTTCTTTACATTCAACCCTTTGCTTTCCATTGTCTGATACGGAGCTCTTCTCTGTTTGAGATACAAGGAATTTTTACTCATGGTATAGCTTTGGCATAGGGAATATGAGACTGATAAGTTCAGTTAATATTTGTGGGGTTCTTATTAGAAACCATGTATTATATTAAGTGGGGATCATTATAATTGTTGACACAACAAGGAAGGATGATTGTGCAATGAAAGGTGGGAAAAAGCCAATGAGGTAAAGTTGTGCAGTTATGGGCCCACTCGCTCAATGCAGGGTGGGGGAGAATCTGTGTTCCAGATGGTACGCAGATGGATTATACTGGCTGCTATTCGGTGACTCATAAAGGGTGCCATTTACAGTATAATATTTCAACTCCAATCACAACATCCTTGCTTTTGGGTTGGTATCATCATCCATGGTCCTGGCAAAGGAAGTGACCTGCCCAATGTCACAATTGTTAAGGGGCACCACTGAATTGATGAACACAGATTTCACATGGAAAATCAGCAGTCCCATGTTATTTTACTCTATCATGTTTGCATTTCCATGGTTTCAGTACTTCTCTTTTCTCAAACTTATCTTTTTTAAATATGTTTTTATTGATTTTAGAGAGAGGGTATGGAAGAGGGATAGAGAGAAACATGAATGAGAGACAAACATCGACTGGCTGCCTCCCGCATGCCCCGAACTGGGGATCTAGCTAGAAATCTGGGCATGTCCCTGATGGGGAATGGAACCGGTGACCTCTTGGTTCATGGGTCAATGCTCAACCACTGAACCACCCTGGCCTGGCTCTCTTTAAACTTCTTAAACTCCTCCCCATTCCTGCTCTAAGCAGATGCCCTTGCCTCATATTTTAATGAGTAAATGGTAGTAGTTGTTTGTGAACTGTTTAGCCTTGTCTCAAGCAAACCCCCCTATCTATCTGCACGTGTATAGTGAATAGAGTCTTGTTTATTCCCCTTTCATGTTTGCTCTGGATCTCCCCATCTCTCTCACCTTCTCAACAATCCCCCTCCTGCAGTGTCACCTTTCTTTTCAGCCAAAACATCCCCAAGATTTTCTTTCTACTGTCTCATTCTGTCACACAAACAGGATCATATCCCCTCCCTTCACAAAGCAACTGCCCTTGGTCCATGCTCCTTTTCAGCTCCAGCCCTGTGTTCTCTCAAGTAAATTCTCTCGGTGAAGAGTATTCACAGCCAAACACTAGAAGGCAGAGTGTCTCCACTCGTCACCTCAGCTTTACTCCTAAACTCACTGCGAATTGACTTGGTCCTGAACACTCACAGACTGTGCTCCCCTTAAGGATGCCCATGGCCTCCATGTCACTCCTCCAGTGGTGCCTTCTCAGTTCCTATCTGATATCTCAGTTACATGGGACCCATAAACCACTTCCTCCTTCTTATGCCAGTTAATGATAAAATGTACACACAACACAATCTTGATTGTGTTTGTAGCTCAATAGGCCACTTCACCTCAGTGTTTTTTACTAGCCTTTTCTCCCCTCCCAATCCCAAGGTTGCCTCAGATAAACCAAACTTTTGATTCCTGCCAAATCTACCCCTCTCAATATTCTGTGTCTGTTTGGAATTTAAGTACTCAATTGTTAAATCTCCAAATCTAACACATCCTTGCACCCCCTTTCCATGACCATCCCATCCAAGTCAATCAAGTCCCTCTACAAAATACCTAAGTCCACATGTGGAATGGTTTCTCTCATCATAACTCTTGTCCGTGTCCCTTATCTGGCTGCAGATCTGCACTAACCTTCCCAATCGCTTGTTCTTGCTTCTCATGCGGTCCCCACCCAAATCCATCCTCTAGACGTAAGCCAAATGATCTCTTAGAAACAGAAATCATACCATGACATTATTCTTCTCAACACCCTCCAATGGCTTCCAAACTCCGAACTCAAGCTCACCAAGCACTCTTGGAACTGCACCATGTACCCTTCAGAACGCTTATATCCACTGTTGTCTTACACCCTGTGTTGAATCCACACAGAATTCTCCTTTGATTTCTTGAATGTGCCAAGCTCATTGCCATCTAAGCACTCTTGGAACTGCACCATGTACCCTTCAGAACTCTTATATCCACTGTGGTCTTACACCCTGTGATGAATCCACACAGAATTCCTTTGATTTCTTGAATGTGCCAAGCTCATTGCCATCTCAGGGCTTTTTCAGCCTCTGTTCCTTTTGCCTACTATGCCCTCCTTTTAAGCTTCCCGCATCTGGCACTTTCTGAATATTGCTATCTCAGCGTAGATATTATATTCACAGAGGTGTCCAGGGCTGACTCACAGTGCAAAGCAGCTACCCCAAGAACAGCCTCTATCACCAGGGACTGTCCTTGTTTATTTGTCCATTCATTTACTTTTTTTTTATAAATACTCTCTACATTCGTACACATGCAACAGAAGATTCATTCAACAGTAATTCATTCAATGCTATATCTCTATAGTCATGCTGTGAGCCTCATATGTAATATGATATTTTAAAAGTAAAAGAAATAAGTTTTAATAATTTATTTTATTTAACTCAACACACAGAGCCTGTCATTTGAGCATAACCAATCTGAGAATTTTCAATGAGAATATGATATTTTAAAAGTAAAAGAAATAAGTTTTAATAATTTATTTTATTTAACTCAACACACAGAGACTACCATTTGAGCATAACTAATCTGAGAATTTTCAATGAGACATTTTCTCTTCCTTTTTCATACTAAGTCTTTGAATATCAGAATTCATTTTTTACTGCAGCTCATCTCAGGTCAGATTAGCAAGAACTCAATAGTCATATGTGGCAAGTGGATTCTTATTGGACAGTCCAGCTCTAAAGCTCAGGAGGTATCTGCCACATAATAGATGCTCTCCTATCAATTTTTAAATTCCTAGGCTTGGTACTTACCATCAGCTGAAACTGGTTCATGTGGTCAGTTCCTGGCTTCCTGTGGCAGGAGGGCTTCAGCAGATTCTTTTATGAAGAACAAGGGGGAGGGACAATGGGGCTCAACCAATCAGGTGACAGATACCCAGATCTTCTTGCAGTTTCCATAAAACTCTCTGGATATATTGTCAGGGTACTTTATTTATTTTTTTTTTTAAAATATATATTTATTAATTTCAGAGAGGAAAGGAGATGGAGAGAGAGATAAAATCATCAATGATGTGATTCATTAGTCAGCTTCCTCCTGCATGCCCCCTACTGGGGATTGAGCCCGCAACCCAGGCATGTGCCCTTGATCGGAATCGAACTTGGGACCTTCAGTCTGCAGCCTGACGTTTGATAGAGCACTGAGCCAAACCGGCCTGGGCAGGGTACTCTTTTTAGAACCTTCGTGTCTGAATATTTCCCTCTCCTCCCACCTGCTGTGGGAGACAGGAGTTCAGTGCTCTAAATATCAAGAGTCAAGGGCGTTTTGTGTCCGGGCCCTTTCTCTTTTAGAAATTCAGGGAAATGAAAGAAACAATTACTGATGTGAGAGGATTTGGAGGCAAGCAGTAAAAAACATTTAATGTTCCTATTCACTGCACATCCGGTCCATCCTGGGAGCAGAGCTCACGTTCTCAGGGTCCTGGCAGCTCAGGTCTTCTGAGGCCTCATCACTGACCACTGATGTGGAATTTTAGGGCCCCACATGAGACACCCCAGCAGTCACAGGCTACTTACTCACAAGCATAAGGTGTGTGTGTGTGTGTGTCTGTGTGTTTAAAGTCAGATATTGTTAGGGACCTATTTGTTGTTAATCCTCACCAGAGGATATTTTTTTTAAAATATTTTATTGATTTTTTTACAGAGAGGAAGGGAGAGGGATAGAGAGTTAGAAACATCGATGAGAGAGAAGCATCGATCAGCTGCCTCCTGCACACCCCCTACTGGGGATGTGCCTGCAACCAAGGTACATGCCCTTGACCGGAATCGAACCTGGGACCCTTCAGTCCCCAGGCCGACGCTCTATCCAGTGAGCCAATGGTACTTGTTTAGCAGTTCATTATTAAGAATACAACTCAGAAGAGCCAAATCGAAGAGATGCATTGGGCAAGGTATGGGGGATGTGTGTGCACATAGTTTTCAAGTTCTCTCTGGAGCATTACCCTCCCAATACCTTGATGTGTTCAACTATCTAGAAGCTCATCAAGTCCTGTTGTTCACGAGTTTTTATGGAGCTTAATATCCTGCACCTTCCCAGCTATTGTTTCCAGAAGTCAGTGTGTTGAGCTGAAATGTAATCACTTGGTCCTACTGAGGCTACCTAGGAGTCCACCCTAACATAACTCATTAGCATAAATTCTGGTGTGATCCAAAGGGACTCCTCATGATAAAAAGATAGTTCTAGCCCTAGATAGGTTGCCTCAATGGATAGAGCATTGGCCCTCGGACTCAAGAGTCCCAGGTTCCATTCTGCAAAGGGCCTGTACCTCAGTTGCAGGCTCTATCCCTAGCCCTGGTTGGAGCGCATGTGGGAAGGCAACCAGTTGATCTATCTCTCTCTCTCTAAATCTCTCAACTAGAGTTGCCCATACCCAGTCTCAGGGACACACATGAAAAGGCAGGTTGTTACCTGGCCTTCTCACAGCACACCTCACAGCACTTCCATTCTCTAAAAACCCTCGGGTGAGGATTAACAAAAATAAATAAATAAAATTAACAGAAGCATGAAGGAAACTTTTAAAAAATAAATAAAAGACACTTCTATCATTTAGGAAATTGCAAGTGTTTAGATGCCCGTTGTAAGAACCAGGGACTAAGACCAAATTTTTTTTTTGCATTTGAATATTTATTTTGAGTTCACCATTGCCAATGCATCAGGATGTTCTGTTACACATTAGATTACAACGTGAGTGATTATTTGCAGAAACCAAGAAAAAAGGCTGAGAACTACTGTAGATTGATTTATTTCAAAGCAAAGCCATCAGTCAACAGTTAGCCAGAGTACTTTATTTGAAACAGAAAATCAAAATCTGAAGTGTTCATAAAAAGATAAACCACCTGAGGATTTGTAAAAATTTTGGGAATGTCAGCGAGAGTTCAGTAAACAGGCCCCCATTCATGATGAATTCAGAGTTCATTTAATTAGACGTTAAAGGTCCTCAGTTGATACCTGGACGATGCTGTTATTTATTGAGTCGTTAATTATACAACTCCTTCTTGGGTGTCTATCACATGTCAGGCGCTATTTTACACATATGGTTTTGGGGTCCATTCATGAACAATAAAGGCCAAACCTTGCCCTCAGATAGATTACATTCTTATTATGTAAAGATAACCCTACCAAGTACTGTAACACAGTTTTCATACCAATAAATTTGACCATTTGGAAAATATGGCTAAATTCCTTGAATGTCACAGATTACCAAAACAGACAGAAGAGGAAATAGATGGTCTGAATATCTGATAGTTATTAAAGAAATTGAGTCTGTTAAGAAGTCTTCTCAATCAGAAAGCCCAAGACTCAACTTGATTCACTGGTGAATTTCTCTAAACGTTAATAAAAAATATAACACCAGAGAATAGTATTGGAGGAATCACTTCCCAGCTCTTTTTCTTTTGATGTAAAACATGACATGGATATAAGAGGAAAGTAAAAGACCAGACCCATCTTTACATAATCATAAATGCAGAAATTCCAAACCCATCAAGTGAGATTAATTAGAAATATACAAAATGTATCATGACCTACTGTGGTTATTCTATGAATACAAAGGTAGTTTAACATTCAAAAAGAAATATACTTTATGATGTTGTAAGTAAAATGATAAAAATAATATGATCATCTTAATAACTGCTGAATATGCATTTGATATAGTCCAGCACTTATTCATGATTTAAAAAAGAAGCAAACCATTAATAAAGCAGGATTAAGAAACTTGTTTTCAGATTAAAAAACAGGTAAAAACAAATCTACAGGAAACGTCTTACTTCATGATGAAATGCTAAAGTTTTTCCCTTAATATACTCTCTCATCTAAACTTTACAGATTCCCCATCCATCTTCCTCTTCCTATTCCTGTATTCTTTCCCATGACCACCTACCCCCAGGGTATAACCAAAAATAAAAGCAATATCCCCTGATGTCCATATCTTCCCCCCAAATCAGGGGTCACCAAAGTATTTTTCATGATGACTGGTTCAGTGTGGTGAAGAGGCTATTCACTGATGTGATCGCTGCCAGACTGTCTGGCTAGATCCAGCTAGATTCCGGCCAGAGCAGAGATCGCTTTCCAGAAATTCCCTCAAGACAGTCCACCCCCTCAGAAAGCCCCCGGCATTCTGGTTCCTCAGAGGCCCCTCACTGTGTTTTGGGCAAGTATATAAGGCATTTTCTTCTTATCTGAGGTGGGTCATTCTCCAGTGCCCCCATCCATCTTCCCTGTCCTATAAACTCCTTATCACCTGCCCTGTGGCTGGGAGGACATCCGTGTCATCTTGCTGCCTCCCATGCTGAGCCTTGTACGTATGTTTCCTTAAAAACTCTGAATGTAATAATGGGGCTCTCAGTCTCTTGGCCAGAGAAATTTTACCTAACACTCATTATGATCTAAGGCAGCGGTTCTCAACCTGTGGGTCGCGACCCCTTTGGCGGTCCGATTTGGTGGTTGTGTCAGTGATTAGGGCTGAGTCCTCAGTCAGGGCCCTCTCCAGAATGGCAGGCAGGGAGTGGATCATTCTCTTTCGGAAGTCTCTCCCCAGGAAGACATAGAGCATTGGGTTGAGGCAGCTGTTGAAAAAGGCCAGGGTGCTTGTTAAATATACCAGGAGACGAATGATGTTGTACTTTCCTTCATGTACTGCTCTGGCACAGAGTTTATTCAGAAGAAGACACAGTTGCAAGGGGAACCAGCAAATGAAAAAGGAAGCTCCCACAGCAGTGAGGACCCGCAAGGGATGGCGGGACTTGATCCTGCCCTTGTTTCGGATTTTGGCTGCAATGAGCCCATAGCAGATGGCGATGATGGACATTGGTAGAGTGAAGCCAATGACAAATCGGTTGATCCCTATGATTTCTAATGAGGTAAACAGCTTCTGCAACTTATCTTCTTCATCGATGTCATCCCAGAAGTCAGTGTCGAAACCACAGTATATATCCCCATTATCATCTGTTCCTGTAGTAAAGAAGATGAGAATTGGCAAGTTGAGGAGTAGAGAAAGAATCCAGGGTACAATGATCACTTTTTTAGCCAGA